TCCAGGATCACGGAGGTGCAGGTGTAGCAGAGGACACACTTTTGGATTTTCAGAGAAGAAAAGAAAGGACTGGGTATGTTCTTATGTGCTGTAGCACTTGCCTGGAATGTAGGAGGCCCTAGACGTATCCCGAGCACTGACAAGGAGGAGAGAGAGGAAATGTGCTGGGGGTGGAAGGCCGAGCTGTAGTTGCAGGTTCCTGAAGGGATCCGTGTATGCAGATGCTACCAGCAGGAGTTACTGAGTCAAAGAAAAGATAAAAACGTACTATACAGAAGTCTCACTGCAACCACCTCCATGTGCGTGAGAAGCAGCAGGAAAAGCAACTAACTTGAGTGCACAGCTGAGGGGACATAGCAGAGAAGAGACCTGGGAAAGAGGGTGGGACACAGGCTGTGCAGAACTGCAGGACCCTGGACAATATTCTAAGGTCCTTTATCTTAGAAAGCCTTGGAGACTAAGCCGTTATTCAAAGATGCTTACACTAATAATCCTTCAGGTGTCTTCATATTAAATACATCAGTAGGATAAGGACTTTAGATTGTTCTTATAGGCAGAGACTACTATCTCATATTAGAAGTCGTATTGTTGAAGTGAGATCAACAGTTCTGGCAATGACTCACTGTCTGAGCTGGTGCCAACATCCTGGCCCTGTCTAGGTCTTTCCTTTGTAAGCCAACATAACAGGTGGCCCTGTTAAATGTGTTGATTATCATACAGCCCCATTCACCTCACCATGGACATCACCAGCTTCCGCCAAAATTAGATTGTCTCTACTGTGCACAAAGTTAAACATAAAACAAAACATGACAGTCCTTCTTGTCTCTGTCAAGCAGGCAACAAAAGTACCATGAATGAAAAACCTTCCTGCTCCTTCCTGCAATGTACATCTTCCCTAAATTCATCTCTAATTGTCTAGAGATGGCAAGTGGCAGAGGAAAAGGCAGAAGGTTTTGCAAGCAATGTTGACTTTTCCTATGTCTTATTTTCAGTTCATGGGGGGAAATGTAGATTTTCCTCAGTCACAGTGTCTTTCCTGCCATTCCCCTCAACAGGAAAACTTTAAATATGAAACCATGCATAACAGACACTTTCTCAGGTGGTTCACCGTGGACAATCAGCACTTGGGCACCTCTGTGATGTACGTTAGTCTCTGCCAGAGGTCTAATCCTTTACACAGGGGTGCTTTTTCCATCTGAGCGACTAGCTACTGAATCCAAGATTGTTTTACAGAGAAGATCTTAAGAAAAATTATTTCCCAGTGCCAAAATTGTATTTGCAATCATGTCTTCTCTATTTTTGATGAATAAATTCTCTGACAGGAAAGATAAAGTAATCATTGGTCATGTTATTAATGTATTAATTCCATTATTAATTACAAGTGAAAATGCTATGTGAGAATAGAAAGTCATGAGGATCTGAGTTTCTCTTGAGTTAAGTAGAAACTGGTCTACACTCTATTTCAGATGTTCAAAGTTTCACATTTTTATGTCATTCTCCCTTGGAAGAAGCATCAGATACTCTACCGTGCTGCTGCGGAGTGTACACAGGCTTGTCAGTGTGGACGAAGAGAGAGCCATTGTCATAGAGGATTGGCCTTTTTTCTGATTTTGAAAAATGCTTTGACACGACTTCCAAATACACATATGAATATGAGCTTTGTCCTTCAGACAACTGTTTGTCCTGAATCTGAAAAACAACAAACAAACATCATGGTGTGAAAGTGTGATTGTGAAGTCCAAAAGCGTGCTGACCTTGTAGAGACAAAACCACTGCAAACTGTAAGACCAAATCGAGCTTGTTCGTGCTTTTTGTTTGCTTGTTTTGGCTTGGTTTTTGTTTTTTTGAGACAAGATTTCTCTGTATCTATGGAGATGTCCTGGAACTAATTACTGTAGACCAGGCTGACCTTGAACTCACAGAAATTCACCTGCTTCTGCCTCCCAGGTGCTGGGTTTGAAGGCGTGTGTCACCACCACCTGGCTGCAAAATTGAGCTTGTGCATTGCATAATTTTAAAGAGACACTAGAGACCAGGCTCAGGAATTAAGAGCACTGGTGGCTCTTCCAGAGGACAAAGATTCAGTTCCCAGCACCCACGTGGCAGCTCAAATCACCTGACTTCAATTCCAGGAATCCTACCTCCTCTTATCTCCTCTGTTATTGCATGCTGTGGTGTCCAAATACACGTGTAGGCCAAATACCCATTAACAGGAAATTGTAAAAAAATAGTAATGAACCTATAGTGGTGCATAATTTTATCCAAGCATTTAGGAGGCAGAGGATGGCAGATCTCTGCGAGTTCAAATCCATCCTGGTCTACATAGCTATTTCATGACCAGACAAGGCTATTAGAATATTGTTACAGGAAAGATTACTATCTTGTATGTCAAATTATCTTGTTGAAGTCAGATAAACAGTTCTGGCAAACCACTCTAGGTTGTTCATTTCCAAGCCTTGTCGGGAAAACAGTAAATAATAACAATAACAAACCACTCTAGGCTGTTTATTTCCAAGCCTTGTCGGGAAAACAGTAAATAATAACAATAAAAATAATAATAATAATAATAACATCACTGTATAGCACTACAGAAACTGAGGCAGGAGGATCTTGTTTTCAAGTTTATCCAGGTAAGAATTGTAAAAATCTGTTTTATAACATAACCCAACAACAAAATTAATTAAAACCACTGTGGGACAATTAAAATAAATTAGTTTTGCCAAAATCCCTTCATAGTCTGACATCATAATAAAATGTTAGCATTTTGAGACAAATTATTTCTAGAACAAAGAACTTTTAAAACTAAGTACTAAAACTAAAACAATCAAAACTCCAAGCAAGCTAGGCAATAAATTGGCTAATGAAACTGTCACTCAGTTCATAAGCAGAGAAGCACCGAGGACTGGTGGACATGTGGAAATCTGTTGACATCCTTACCATCTGGAGAGCGCCAGTGACACTGGGATTCCATAGCAGGGGTAACAGCTATCATTGAGAATGGTAACAAACCAAGAATGCCGGGGAAGATGTAGCGGCAGGGAACCCTTATGCATTGCTAGGTGGAGTGAAAATTGGTGCAGGCACAAGGAAAACCAGTGTGGGAGTTCCTAAAAAATAGAGCTACCTCTGGCCCAGCTGCTGCACTTGGGAATCTCTGAGGAGGGATAAAAGCCAACGTGGTGAGAGAGGCTTGCACTTTTCATCACCTTCATCATTGCACTGTTCATGACTCCCAAGCTATGGAGACAGTCTGCTTGTCCATCAACAGCTAAGTGGACACAGCAAATGCAATATACACAACAAGTTTTATTCAGCCACAAAGGACAAAACTGTCGGGAAATGGATGCAACGGGAGGTCTCCATAGAAAGTGAAAGAAGCCAGACTCAGAAGACAAATACTGTGTGTTTTCTGTCACTGTGGACACATGACACAAATATTGTGTACATACACACACGTGACATAAGAGAAGGATGAGAAGAGGGAGAGTGGACGAGGTGGGGTAAGGGGGTCAGTACAGTCAAAGAACATGACACACTTGCAAGAAATTGTCTTTACGAAACCCATCAGTACCCAATATGAACATGCAGAAAATAAAGAAGTTTCTAACCAGTCTGAACATAAATGTCTCAATGAACGACAGTTATTTGACCAGTTTGTCCTTTTTACATCTTGTGTGTTTCCAGAGAGTTCCTGGCTGCAGCAGTCAGCAGTCCCCCAGCATGGGAACTCTGTGTACAACTGGGGAATACTGAGCTTTAGCAAATACTCAAAAGCCCGTGTGCACATTCAGTTAGCAACTCCCTTTTCTAATTTCACCTCAGGATATTTCCTGTTCATCTCCAAATGTTTTCACAGAGAATAGTTTATTTTTAAGGATGTGGGCATGGCACACTTGGCTCAAAATCAAATGTAATTTTCTGCACAGAGTTTGGCGTTTCACTCATCACTCCCCCTGTTACCATCTCATAACCACACAGCTATGGAGCAACAGTAATGACTACAGTTTTACCAAGGCTCAAGTGTTGCACAACTTTTACCAAAAACAAGTAAAAAAAAAAAAAGAATAAGTACATACTGTTAATAGTGTGGAGTTTTGGAATTTATTTTCTGGAGATAAATTAACACAGCCTGAAGAGTAGGTCACTTTTCTATCAGGATAACTTCTTATAGAGATTGTCACATCAAATGCTTCGGTGTAGCCACGGGCTTGAATTACAACATTTTCAGATGCTCCGACATGAAAGACTTTGGGTGCTGAAATGATGAAGCTGTTTAAACTGCAAAAGAAAAGTTTCGTTTGTTTTGCAGGTTTTCTTATACTTTTGATATTTTTTTCTTCACTGAAGATTAGTTTTAAAAACATAGGTTAGGCAGTAGTGGTGCATGTCTTTAATGCTAGCACTCAGGAGACAGAGGAAGGTGTTTCTCTGATTTTGAGGCCAGCCTGGTCTACAAAGTTAGTTCTAGAACATCCACAATTACATGTGTTGTAAAAAATCAAACTAAAATTATATTTTGAAAGTCAAAATTTGTTATGATGAAAAACTTAACTTTTCCAGCATGAAACAGGTTGTAATTAAACCCCAGTAACAGCAAAGATGTTTAGAAAGGCAGTAATCGAGATGTAAAGGCACCAAGACCAATGGCCTGAGTTTGATCCTGGAAACCCACATAGTAGAGTGAGAGAACTGACTCTTAGAAGGTGCCCTTTGACCTCCCCACAACTGCGGTATAATGGGCATGCATACCCCCACACATACACAAATATATACTTATTTTTAATTGCTACCAGTGAAACTCCCCTTCAGATGAACTTTGGTCCGTATTGGGGCATCAGCAATGCAGTCTGCGCATGTGAGGAAATTTCATCTTGTGTATGTTCTCTGCACTCTCAGAAGCCTAGGCCGCTGAGCTTGCACAGGGAGGCATCACTGGGTTGTTTCTGTTTTCTCTGCAGACATGTGCACGGCATCACCTATTTTCCTCCAGGCTCTGTATGCACATCACCATTGACAGAGAACCTTATCAGTCCATAGACATAAACAGGGGCCTTCATTCTCTGTGCTCTCCTGATGCTTTCTTCACATTCTGGAAACTGCCTTCATATTTATTCATCTGTCATTCGCTCATTTGTTCCTTCATTGGCTTGTTTGCTCCTTCATTGGCTCATTAGTTTTCATAGGCTCACTCATTCATTTCTGCTTCTTCAAATACAATTCAAGCTCTAGAAACATCTCCTCCTGCCCTCAGAACCCATTACAAAGTATGTGTAATGACGGATGACCAGATTGTCCTCTTCTTGGAGCTTAGTAAATACATCTGACCATCTGTGCCTATGCTGGTTTCAGGGAGGGTTAACTAAAGGATGCCATCCACATGAATGTGGATAAGAACAACATCACTTAGATCACCTCGTGTAATGGGGTTCAGGCTTTAGGGGGAGTTGAGCTTGAGAGCAAGCATTCTCTCTCCACTTCTGAGCTGCCCCATAGGAGCTCTCCTGCCTGTCACACCCTTCCTGCGATGGTGTGCTATAACCTCTGACATCTGAGCACAATTCATTTCGTTTTTAGTGGCCTTGTCCAGTCTTTTGTCACAATGGCAAAAACCTAACTATGATGAGGATCAAAAAATTTGCTGAATCAGTCAAAGTGATCGACTACTGTGCTGTCATGGCACACTTCCTCATGGTCTCGGAGAGAGGAAAGATTTCATAGCCTGGCCAATGTGGTAGAGCAGGAGAATTCTGAAGACCCCTGGACAAGAATAATGAGGGTCCATGTTTTAGGGTTTAATCTGGATGTCCCTGAGCTGCTATTGCTTGTCGGTTAAATCAGAATAATAAAGGTAGCTAAGGTAGTGGGGTGAGTGTGGCCTTGCAGTGAAATCTCAGAGTAGATGCGTGTGCAAGCTTATGGTATCAGTGCATGTTTCTTTTACACTTGTATTTGCACAGACACATTTGTGACAAAGACAGGAGGGAATTTATGTGCTAACCAGGAGACTGCAGTAAAAGTCTAGCCTAGAGTACCAGCTAGCAGGGGGCAGAAGGCAGAGGTGCACATGGGCATATGATCTGAGTCCAGCCTAGACAACATGCTGAAACCTCATCTTACAACAAATAACAGAAAAGAGTAAGTTCAGTGAGATAGCATTCAGTTAACTTCCAATCCTAAGATGTTCACATTGTTTACATGGACAGGATTCTGGTAGCAAGAAAATTAGGACAAACCGGTTTATGATGTAGCATTATGATGTAGATATTATAAGCATAGTTTTTCATTTCTTCTGTAGTGCAAATTCATCATGACCCAATATAAAATAATTTTATACATCAATAATTAAAATTCAGCAGTTGGTTTTATAAGAACACCGTATTTGAGTTAGACCCACTTAACTGCACTTAGACCAAGAAAAGCACAAACTAAGCACCAAGTACTTGTAGGTAATAACTGCCAATATAATTGATTATCTTGGTTTTGCTCTGCATATCTGTTGACTAGGCAATGAATAATCATCTCGGTCACTGTTAACGGTAACCGTCTCATGGGATCAGTTTTGTTGTTAGCCGCTCATCAAATCCGGACGTGCCCACGGCTCTCATGGTCAGCTGAGACTACCCACTCATTATATCAGGAGCAGACAGTTATTATCGAATCAATACAACCCAAGTCTCCTTTTCACTCACCACAGGTAAGACGCCCAGGAAAGGGAAGATGGCTCATTTTACTTACGTTTGTTCCTGTCCCCAAGTTTTGCCCAGGAAAATTAAAAAGCCAAGTGCTCCCCAAAGGCCCATGGCGGAAAGTGGCATAAACCCGTGAGTATGACCTTCTTGAAGCTACTGTTACTTTAAATAAACTGGGTTGAAGAGTTTAGGTAAATTAGTTTTCTGGGTAATTATTAACGTCAGGGAATACAATCTCTGAGTGAGAAAGTTAAAATCAGGAATGGGCACATGAGGGTGTGTTAATAAACACAAAACATGTTTTAGTATCCTGTCATTTCCAGTAATAAAGACAGCGGTGTTTGACATCACCTTAGACCCAGGGACTTGTTTTTATGAATACAAGTAACAGGGTCCTAACCTGGGTGCTTGCCACTGTGCAGGAAGGCTCAGCGCTGGGAGCCAGGAGCCGCTTTCCTCTGACTTTCTTCGCTCGGCCAGGTCCTTTGTGCTGACACCCTGCTACCTTCAAACTTGATTCTGGCAGGTTTTATTTGTCTCTGAGATTTATGGAAGACTCACCTGGATTTCATTTTAAATGCATGGTTTTAGAATGATTTTGGCCAGCCTTTAAGTCTAACACTCAGGAGGCAGAGGCAGGCAGATTTTAGCGAGTTCAAGGCCAGCCTGGTATACAGAACAAGTTCCAGGACAGGCAAGGTTTCAAAGAGAAACTTGTCTTGGTAACCAAATAAATGAAAGATAGATAGATAGATAGATAGATAGATAGATAGATAGATAGATAGATAGACAGACTAATAGAACAAATCTGACCTGAAGAAACAAAAGTAGCATCCTTGGTACTGGTGATATCCAAGGGTAACCTAGGTCTGCAGAGATGGTCCAAGGACTAGATCCAGGGTCCATCCCAGTCTAGAGAAGAAGCAGTGCAGTAGATGGAAAAGGGTTGTGTAGGCATGGAAACCCTACTAGAAGCTCCTGTGATTCCCTAGACAGTAGACACTCAGTGCTTACGGGGATGTGAGTGTGTGAATCCCCGTGTCCCTCCCCAGAGTTTGCATGAAGTCATAGAAGGCCTCACTTTATACCTCCATGCTCCAGTGAGGGTTTCTACAGTTTACTACAGGAGGTCAGTATGAGCAGAGTTAATAGTATTTCCCATGACAGTTGGTTTTCTTCTTTTTTAAATCACTTTTGGTTTTGGAGGCAGAATGTCTCTATACAGCCTTGGCAGTCCGGGAACACACTGTAGACGCGACTGGCATTGAACCCATGGAGACGACTGTCCTGTGCCTCTGGGGTGCGGGGATTGGAGCAAGTCCAACTACATCTCACAAGTTGATTTTCATGACTCATTTCCAATTAAGTAAATTTAAGCAAAAGTTAATTTTTAGAAATAAAATAAGTTTATTTTATATGTTATGTTCATTAGATAATTTATTTAGATTTTCTTTTGTCAATCATTTGTACATTTGTTTATGATGTGTCTTGTATTTCAAGGTAAGAAAAGAAATGTCCAGGAGCTGGATATGTATATCAGTTGGTAGAGGCCTGTTGAGCATGCTCAAGGTCTGCGTTGGACCCAGACTCACAGGACTGTCAGGTGTGATAGAGTACACCTGTAGTCACAGCACTAGGGAGGTAGAGGCAGGAGGATTGGAAACTGTAGGTCATCTTCAGCCACTAGTGAGTTTCAGACCATCCTGGGTGACATGAGACCCTGTCTACAATAATAATAATGATAACAGTGTTGATGATGATAATGAAGAGATGTCTAAACACAGTCCTGTAAGTCAGAATTTTGGTCACACTCACAATAGCATCTTTACCTAATTAGTAAGGTTCTATTTAGTAATACTTTAATCCTGAATTTGTCAAAGAAAAAGGAGTGGGAAGAAAAATTCTATGCACTATTTCACTTAGAGTAGTGTTCCTTTTATACAAAGCATCACAATGGAAAACATCCACACTGCCGTCCAACTAGCTATCTCATTTATTTCCAAAGAAAACCTGTAAAATGATTAACCTGGGTTGCAAAAGATGAGCCAGGTTAAAGCAAACAGTGCTTCTGTGATCACTTTCGGGAAACAAAACCCAAGAGTGTAAGGACCGCCCAGTGAACACCTACCAGCTTTACTTCAATTGCCAGCAATGGGCGCTGTCTGTGGTAGGAGAGCAAACACTAGGAAGTGCTGTTCTCAGACCACTGCTGTGGGAAGTGTTTACAGGATGACAGGCTCAGCAAGTCATGGGCTCAGCTGTTTAATCCAGCTGTCTTCTAAATGTCATTCAAAGATGGGCTTTCTTCAGGGTTTAAAATTAATATTTCTTCAAGTGCTCAAGTGTTTGATTGCTGTGTGTGGAATAGGATTGTGAATAGGAGAGTGGATGGTTCACCCTTCTTTTGCACAAATATCGCCTTCCTTCCATTTTTCCTTCCTTTTTTCTTCCTTCCTTTCCCCTCCCTCCCTCTCTCCTTCCCTCTCTTCCTTTCTTCCTTCCTCTCTGTCTTTCTTTTTAAGGCAGATTTTCTCCTGTTGCGCTGAGCTGATGCTCAACTCTGCTTAGAAACCTGAGGGTAACTGAACCTTTTGCAACTGTCACCTGGCTTCTGGGGACCAGATGTCTTTGCTTAGAGTGTTGTCTAATTTTTATATCAACTTAACACAAACTAGAGTCATCTGGGAAAAGGGAACTTCAGTTGGGAAATGACCTCATTAGAATGGCTGGTGGGCAAAACTGTGGGAATTTTCTTGATAGATAATGGATGTGAGAAAGCCCTGTCCATTGTTTTCAGTGCCATACTTGGGCAGTTGGTTCTGTGAGCCATATAACAAAATAAGCTGAGCAAGCCATGGGGAACAAGCCAGTGAGAAGCACCCCTCCATGGCCTCTGCATCATCTCCTTCCTCCAGGTTCCTGCCCTGACTTTCCGCACTGATGGATTGTGATGTGGGACTGTAATCTGACATGACCTCCCCCAGCCATGTTGCCTTTGCCAGAAACCTGCACGACATCCTGGTCCCCAAGTCTCTCATGGTCTGTGTCCTGTTCAGTTCTCTTGTATTCGCTTTCTTCATTGTTATTAAGTGGCTGTGACATGAAGGGGCTCTGGAGGGTGTGTCTGTCAAGTGAACACTCTTTACTTTCTTATTTCATACTTATTTACTAAAGAGAAACAGTCTAGAAATCAGCTATTAACAAAACCACAGGCTTCCTTTTATGAACAAACAAAGAGTCTTAATGTATGATTTTCAAGGTGAAATAACTTATAGGAAACTATCAGTGGGATCTAAATGAGCAGAGTCCCAGTATTCTGTGCGTTGCTGTTAGAAGTTCAGCTCACCACACTGTTGGCCTCCGGTGCCTGCTGCTGGTTAGCACAGGGGAGCTGGAGTGATCCGTTCCTGTTCCCTGGAGTCCATGCAGTCTGAGGACAACCAGAGACACAGGGCTGTCTCCCCTGAAGCAGAATCTTTCTAAATGGTGAACTGACAAAGATGCAAGTTTTATTTAGCAGTGGTGGGCTGCCACAGGGGTTTGTCCTTTAAGATGATTTTGGTTTCAAATCCAGTCCTCTGCCTCAATAGTGTTAGTATTAACTTATTTATAGCATGTACTCACAAAGACATGTCTTCATAAAGAGGAGGAATGTGTGTATTCCCTCTATATGTGCCTACAACCCCGGCACATCCACAGTTACCTAAGTGCCTCCACCAGCAACTGTGTGCAAGGGGACCTGGGAATTCAAGCTATTTCCAGTTGGGGGCCTTAAAGCAAATTACCTCTTGTTATCACGTTGCCTTGATATCCTGTGTATGTATATTTGAATAGTATTAAAATACATTTAGTTTAAAGTATGTTCTCCAAAAGCAAGATTGATAGAGACGTTCTCAGTGTACCCAGAGCGGAGTCACTCCAGGTGAGCAAGAGTCAGGCAGTCTGGCTAACTACTCCATATGCGCTTCCAAGTCCCATGGGAAAGCCGTGTGGAAGCCCTGGGGTTGTTGACACAGGGTTTATTAGCCTTTGATGTAAACCACAAACAATTTCTTTCATGTGTTCCCGTTCATACCATTCTTGTTACTTCCCTTCACCAACTTGAGCAAATGCAAGATGAAGTCAGTTTTTCATTGCTCAGACTAAGACAAACATATCTACTATAGTTTTGATCTAAAGTGTCCCCCAAACGGCTATTGCCAAAACCTTGTTCCAGGTGGTCCTGGTGAAAGTCAATGTGTCACAAAGCAAAACCAAAAGTCGTGAATCTGTGGAAGGACTGGGAATGTCTAGAGGGCAATACTGAGCTTGGAGTCACCAGAATATAGCATGTAAATGTACAATATTGTCAAGTAACAAAATTAAAAAAGATTAAAGAGTAGTATTTCATAAGACTAAGAAAAATAAAACATTTTTTCCTCAGAGTGGTGTTTCTGGGAGTTGGGGAATTGGTTTATTTGTTTGTTGTTTGGTGAGACAAGGGTGTCCTCCACAGCAGCAGAAGGGGCTCCTCAGAACTGAGTTATTTTAGAGACTGGAGAATCGTGTTATGTTCTGTGATATCCTGGAATTTTTGATTCTCTTGCCCAGTTTCCCCAGGGCTGGAACTGCAGGCACATGAGTTCTTCTCTGCCTGCTATGGAACCTTTAAACATGGGCCTAGCAGGACGTCTCCAAGTTCCTTGGGGTACACCCATTAGTGAGACTGGGGTACACCCGTGAGTAAGACTGGGGTACACTGTGAGTGAGACTGGGGTACACCCATGAGTTAGACTGGGGTACATTCTTGAGTGAGACCTGGATACACCCGTGATCCTGGGGTACACCCATGAGACTGGGGTACCTCATGAGTGAGACTGGGGTACTCTGTGAGTGAGACTGGGGTACACCCATGAGTGAGACTGGGGTACACCGTGAGTGATACTGTGGGTACACCCGTGAGTGAGACAGCAGTCTTTCAGTCTCTGTTTCTGCTCTGCCATGAGCAGTTTGGTTCCTCTCGTCA